AGATAGATAGATAGAATGGATGGATTGGATGGATGCATGGATGGATGGATAGATAGATGATAGATACATAGATATGATGGATGGATAGATAGATAGAATGGATGGATTGGATGGATGCATGGATGGGTGGATGGATAGACATAAATAGATGGACAATCTTATGCTAAGGACAGGCTTCTCCACCTTGTCACTGAGGACATGTGGGGCTGGACCACTCTATGTTGTGAGGCGTCCTTTGTACTGTGGGGTGTTGAGTAGTGCCCCTGATCTCTACCCACCAGGTGCTAACAGCAGCCTCACCGAGTCATGACACCCAAACGTCTCCAGACATCACCAAATGTCCCCATGGGGGGGTGTCATCCCCTTAACTCTCCTCACCCCACCATCCTCCCTGCTGTCCTAGAGAACCTGGAGTTTCTAGCTCTTTTCTGGGGCGGGGGGGGGCTTGTCCTGCGGAAACTTCACCTCAGGATGTTTACATACAAAAGGGAGAAATGCCGGTGGACAACCCAGAAAGAAATGGCAGGAGAGGCCAACGTGAGAAGATGGTCAAGTGTTGCTCTGGCTCTCCTGTGACTTAGGAATGGTGATTTGGTGAGATTCGAATTTTATGGAAAGAGACACATGTGTAGTTTCCCCCCAAAATGGACTATCACAGCTAATCAGGTCAACCACATGAAAAAGAGTGTTTGTCCGTTGGGAGGGCCGAAGAAGCCCGAGGAGAAATTTGGAACACACGATGTTCTCCAGCACCTCCTTGTAAGCCAGTAGGGAGGGTCCCACATGTTTTACCGGTAGACACACTGAAACTCATGGCTCCAAGAAGGCTGACCGGTGGGAAAAGCATTTCAGTAGACCCAGGCCATCTTTCTGATATTCTCTGGCCCTCCCCCCTTTCACGGGGGAAGAAAACAACTGGGGGAAATCAGGAGAAAATGAGCAGCCAACGCTCCCGTCCCTTTTGGACGTAGCTCTCAAGGCTATCACCACCTCTCATGGAGATGAGACATAGGCACGCCTCCTACCTCCTTTCTTCATCATCTCCACTCAAAACCGCAAACCGATATTGTGTTGTTCGTATCTCACAATGCCAGACATGTGCGATGAATCACCAACCAAGGAAAAAAAAGGACGGGGTTGTAGAACATGAGTTCGAATGTCACTAAAAATGTCAGTGCTTCTCTAGGAAGAATGCTTCCCTTGTGTCTTTCATACGTTAGTTTCTACACGTCTGGCATGTAGGGGTTACTTGGGTATCTATTTTGGTGACCTGTATGGAACAAATCACCCCAAAATGTCGTAGCACAAAGGAACCCCAAGCTGCTGTTACGTCTCCTGATTCTGCGAGTGGACAGGACTCAGCGGCTCTACGTGGCCTTGGCTTGTGCCGTAGGCAATTGCAAGATTTCAAAGGATAGAATGTTCTAGATGGCCCCTTCATACTCCTGGCAGCTGAGCTGACTATCATCCAAGAGTTTTGGTAGGACCTTCGCCAACTGGAAGACGCGACAGGATAGAACGCTCCAGTTGGCACACCCTCATTCCCCCCACCTTCAATTGCCCAAAGCCAAGTGAGGGGCCACCCCAGACTCAAGAGGAGAGAAACAGGGGTCCGCCTCTCCTCGGGGGTTGCTGTAAAGAATTCACACTCATTTTGATGGCTCTCTAGTAGCGATCTCTTTTGAATGAGATTTGTGTTATTTCCAGAAGAGACACTTAATTCTCACATCGACTCAAGGTAAGATGTGTTCATCCCAATGACAGTTGCCTCTAGAAGTGGCTAAGCCTCCACCAGCCTTTCATGTCAAGCTCCTTCTGTAATTAATTGTGCAGAATGTGCATGGAGAGATGATCTCTTATCTTGAGTCTCGCCGGCTTTATTTCTGAATCTGCCCAACACGCTAGATGTAATCGTGAAAAAAGGCGTCGGTGCAGCTGAAAGTCGTGAGCGACGCGGTTTGCTATCAGATTAATCTCTGAGCAAAAATGGGTCCCAGTTTACTCTGCTGTAGGGACCATTATATAACAGAAGCATTTCCCCACCCCAGCGGAGAAGACTGCACTAGAAGGGAGGGATACAGGACAGTGGGGCTTGTATGCTACAGGACCACATGAAAAGATGTTATTTCATTTGTTTCGGTAGAGATGGGAAGATGGGAAGATACACAGGGTCCGATCCAGAACCTTCTAGAGTGGGGGGGGGGGGTTGGCTTCAGAGGGTGCACGAATGGACACAGGGCTGCACATGTCCGGACCGGAGAGAAGGGAGCCTAGTCTGCGTGCACTTATGTTACGTTTGTGTCTGTTCCCGTCACTTCTCTGAGCCGACAGAGACAAGCAGCACGGAGCACAGATCCGTGGACATCACAGGCC